GATTACAAACCAATATGCAAGAGTAATTAAATGAGCAAATAATGTTTAATTCCAATAGTGTGTCTGACCCTTGAAGTGTAAAAGTGCGTCCTGTTAGAATTTGAGGATGTGGAGGAGGAGGGGCGCGCCGAGGAGGCATTCATTTTGGAGTAGGTCCTAAAACTAAATACACAAATTATAATACAATACACATCTGGTTAAAGAATCTCCTATCGTGCTATTTTTTAGGCATATGGTTTTTCTCAGATACATACAAAGTATTAAAAAACAATGTTGATGATTTGTTTTGCTCCAATACCCAAAACAGAAAATTCCTCGCCTCATCCCCTTTTATTTCGAGCTTGTTACTAAAAGGGTGATTCTGGTTTAAAAAAAGAAAGAGAGGGGTGGGGGGCCTCAGTAATGCTGAAGCATGCTGATCAGTCAGAGAATTCAAGCAAGCCAGAAACTCAGCCTAATGCCTGCCGTGAATAAACCTTCATATTTGTTCGCGTTCATGGTATGCAAAACTTTAATGTATAATAATTGTTAACAAAACATGTCCTCTGTAAACACCACCATTGATCAACAAAAGGAGGCAGGGAGAAGAAAATAAATCTCATATGAACTGCCCTTTCTAAAAAAAAAAAAAAATTTTAAGAAAATTGCAAAATAGATGGTCTGTCGTTGATATTTTATTTTGCAAAGCCAAACATCAACAAGTATCGTGGATAATAGAGAGAAACACGAAAAATACTTATTGTTCGCCACTAAATTTTTCCGCGACAGTTAACGGAAAGAAACAAAACAAAAATAACAACAACACGGCAACAAGGAAACAGCTGCATGATCAATGTTCCAAACAACATCAAAGGATTTATTTATGGAACAGCTATGGAGCTCAAACGCTTTTCTCTCCATCAGGTTTTACCCAACAAGGTGAATTCCTTTTTATTCCTGATTCTTTCACAACGTACTCTCTTCCAGTAAAACAGGTTAGGGATGGGTATTGTTAAGGTTTTTAACGGTAACTGTCTACTTTTACGATACCGCTTTCATCCCGGTCTTTTTTAACGAGGTTCTAAGGGTATAAGGCCCGTGGGCCTAGGTATAAACGAGTCAAGGCTCGCCAGCTGCTATCAAACATACATTTTAACTAAGGTTAATAAATATGTATAAAAATCAGTAAAATAAGTGCTTCAACATAGTTAAACATTGCAGGAAAGTTATTGTCAAGTCCCAAAAACACAAATTCATGGCAATTATATTGAGACGTTAAAGAGGCCCTGTGAACAGCCATCCCGAACAACTGTTGTGCAAAAATAATGGGGCCCTACTAAGTCATCTCCGAACCGTCAGATTTTAAAAAGAAGGTGCAATACCGTTTCGATAAATTATCTATNGATATGTCCACGATTATATTTTTCCAATGTCATTTTCTCCAGAGGTAAAAAATGTGTTATCTGATCAATGAAAAGTTTAAATGTTGGAGGACGTTCATTCTTCCAGAGTAAAAGTATACATTTCAAAATATGTTATTGTGATTACTATTCTGTAATGTTTGGGGTTGAGTTTCAAGTTTGGCATGTCATTTAACAGGAAAAAACATGGATTTAGGCTCATTTATGATGGAAAATATGTTGGATTTTTGATGAAATTGCAATAAGAGCTCCATAGCTTGTACAGTATATACAGTACATAAAATATAGCGGCACCATTTGAAAAAAAACATTGACTTGTTGACATTATTTTAACATTGCAATTGAGATATGATTCATGATATTGGAGAAATTGATCATTTGTGAATCAGTATTCTCATTATCAATGAAAAAGTGTTAAAATTATCATGGTGTGATATTTTTAAGAGCATCTGATGTTTCATTAAGTCTGTAGAGTATGATCTGTAGTCCGGGATATCTTTGCACTTTTACATATAAACAAAACATACATTGACTATTTGTGATTTAGCCACACGAAAAACACAAGAGGAATAACAACACCACAATAAAACTGTCAACAAAGCCAGAAAAAAACGTCAACATGTGAATACTTAGTTCCAAATGATAACTCATATTTAGCCTTTAACAAATATTCTGCTTCATGCCATTTGATTATTGCTATGGCCTATATTGATTACACATTGATTAATTGTGCAGCCTTAATAGACCTCTTACGTAACACAGCATGCTATGTTGATTGCTTTGTCACTGGACCAACATCACAGCATTTTGTTTCTGCTGCAGGACAATCGATGCTTCATTACTTCATTACCAAACGCTGACCCAGAGTCAGTGCTGCTCTCTGATCTCTCTTCACCTCTTTTTACCTTTACTGCCATGTTAGAGTCATCTCTGCAGAACGGAGAGTTTCACAGGAAGCCCTCTCGACTGAATGTCTCCCAGAAACACTGAACTTTTATTTCTTTGTGTTTATGTTGACGGGCTTATAGCTGGATCAGCTGGTGATTGATTCAGCCATGGAGAAGAGGGAAATGGAGCATAAACATGCGACCATTCAGCAGAGGGTGAGTTCCTATTTAATCGTTTTTATTTACTTAATTTTAGACCATGTTGTTCCAAACGTTTTTCCATTATACGGTAATACTTTGGCCAGTTTGAGACAGGTATTTCATTGAATTCTTTAATGTAAAAAAGGTTTTAAAATGCTTAAATGTAAAGATATCAGCAAACATTGAGATTACTTTAGTGTTTTCTCTCATAGGAAGAACATGCACGAAGTTTAGAGAAGTAAAAACAATTCCATAAAAAGTAGCATTTATATTGACGGAAATACGCAAAACTTAAATTGCTTCAACATGTTATCTCATAGGCAAAAAGGACCAAATAAGTCCTTTGTTTACTTCCGTAACATACTGACACCCACATTGTACGTGATAGGCTAAGGGGCGGGACATCTCTTAGCGGTTGACCAATCACAACAGAGCCGGCCAGCTAACCAATCAGAGCAGACTGGGCTCTGGTTTCAGACAGAGGGTGAAAAGAGGTGCTGCAGCACAGGCAGTATGAGAAAAATAAAGAGCTTTTTGAACATTAAAGCATGGAGACATGTCCCAGGAGAGACACAGGGTGAAATAGAGCTAATCTAACGCTGCCTTGATGTCACATCTCACCTCTAAGGTCAATCTGCCACTCAGCGCCGTCTGTTGTGACTGGGGGGTGGGGTGGGGTGTGGGGGGGATTAGAGCTGGGCAGCTGGGAAGTGTTTGATTAATCCCCCTAACAAAGTCCAGGCATTGATTTAAGCATTAAAATCAGGAGGTATTAAGTGATTTTACCAGATATTAATCCCACTGTTGTCTGCTGTAGATAATAAGCACATTATCTCCTGGAGCCTCGCTGTCCTGGACTGTGAGGCAAGAGTTGGCTGTGATGTTTGAGCATTTCTAACCATGCTAGTGTTGATAGGATAAGATAACATAGTAATTTATTGATCCCAATTGGAATGAACCACTTTGGTCCAGCTTGATATATTTCAAAATATGAATTGGATTGAAACAATATGTTCTGCAGACATGCATGGTCCCCAGAGGATGCATTTATATTTTTGTCTCTAACCGCTATGACTTCACATTTGTCACTTTTAGTAAAAATAATAAGGCTCTACAGAAGGGTTCCTACAATCATGGAAAACCTAACTTTTCAAGGCCTGGTAAAGTCCTGGAATAAGTTAAATCCGTAGACGTTTTTTGAGGTGTAAAGTTTTGCTGCTATACAACATTCAAGGTTCAAGGCTTTTGTTGTCATGTGTGCATAGCTACAGTGTAGATATGACAATGAACATCTGAGGTCACAGGCTCCTCCTACAGTGCAACACAATAAAACATATCAAATAGTGCAAGTAAACACAATAAAACAGAAATAGTGCAAGAATAGTTTATATACAAGTCATTGGAATATCATATATTTAAGTTGCAAACAGTATTCCCTACAACGAATGGACTTGGAAATGTTTAGAAATGTTATCCTTTAAAATGAGGGAACCCTGCTATGAGGGTGTTTCCTCTGGAGGGTGTGTTCCTCTTCTGGCATCTTGTTATTTAATAATTCACAAAGCCTGATTTTTAGGGGCCCTGTGTCTGGCTCCTGTGAACCCCAGGATCAGGGACCATCTGTCAGCCTGCAGCCTGCAGCCGGGTCACATGTGTGGAGCGCTATTGATCTGTTTTTACCAGAGCTGTGAGACACTGCGCTTTAATGCACCGTCCATCAGAGGGACTAGAGTGTGAGATAATCAAGGTCAGGGAGATGAAGCTGAATGAAAAGGGTCGGCATGGTATAGAAATATCTTTATGACTGGATGTACGGCTGCACAATTTAGATACAATTTAGATACAATTAATAATTGCGATTATTTTAGTTTTTTTCACTTGTTTTTTCTTTCTTGCAGACATACTATAAACAACATGGATGAAATGCTTATGCAATTTAACTCTCATCTGTCCCATTTGTAGGACTGGGCTTCTCTGCATCATCAGTTTTATACATTTTATCAAAGTCAACTGTATTGTCAATCTTCCAGTTTGTGTGTACGGACGAGAGATCGAAATACCGTTTCCCACAATCCCGCGTACTGCGATTTAGATTTAGCACGAGTCCATTTTGCAATTTGGATATAATTGCGATTGATCGTGCAGCCCTGAAGGGTGGTTTACTTTCTGCCTTGTATTCCTTGAAGAGCAGTAAGGAGGATAATCAGAGGTGCATTGAGGCTCAGAGATGATTGTATTATCTCAAATGAAACTGCTGAGGTTGTTCTAACGCTGTATTTTCTTTTCTTTCTTCTCCCGATGACACCATCTGCTCTCAGACTCTCATGCAGGTGAGTGATCATCCATTCATTTTCCCATCTGAATTTGAGCTTGAAACACATCTTTGGGTTAGTGTGTTTTCGGGGAGGAGGG